TGTACCATTAACAACTATAGTCTATTATGATGTGTTTAATACTACTCACATTTTGCTGTCTTTGTACTTGTACTATTAAACAAATTATAATTATGTCCCCCTGTATACATATTATATTGTATATATAGAAAGAATGACAATGCATTTTTGAACCTTGAACCCTTCACCCTTTCTATGTGTGTGTGACAGCCAGTCTAAGTTGGTGTCAAATGGGGCAAACTTCAAGGGATGGATTTTTGCCTAATCACAAAAACTTTGTTAATCAAGAATTTAACAAGAAATTAATTAATATACTTTTGAAAATGTTTGTCATGCCTTCATCAGCTCACTGATCCCAGCCATTGTAGCAACCTGGGATATTCCCACTCCGTCCATCAGTCTGCCTTCTTCTGACTGAATCACTGTTTTCCATTTGTCCTAGACCTCTTGTGGGACCAAAAAGAAAAAGTCCTAATAAATGTAAAATGTGGAAGTTGTCACCTTTTGCTGATCCAGCAAGATTTTAATGTCAGCTACACTGGCAAAGAGGTCGTTACCGCTCTCTGTCTACCTCTGCGTCCTCCCTCCTTTCATCTCTCTTCTCTGTCTCATGTATTAGGCTATCTCTGAAGGTGACTTTCATTTAATTTAACTTTAATTAAACGGAATAAGACCATACCAGTGTTGCTGTTGGTAGTGTTTCTGAAGAGTTAGATGATATTTCCCATAAAGCCAATTGATTCTTGGTGCAGAGTTTCTACTCAAGCTCTACTCACTTTTAGACACAACACGTTTGTTTTCTATTTCATGTTGAAATATATTTCTCATTTGTCCTGCGTTCAATCATCTGCCATTGTTAGACTTTCTGATGCTTGACTGTGAACAGCAATCTTTTATGTTTTGTGCAATACAACAGTAAAACAGATCTCCAACCAAATCAAATTCTTTGGCAAAAAAATAAAAATGCAGTGTGGAGACTGCTAGTCGTGTATGTCTCAGAATTAATGTGGTCCTAAGAACTTGATGTTTAAATGTCAAACGTCGCCCCTATAATAAAATATTCTATACCTTCACTCCCACCCTTCTTCCATCCTCTCTGTCTAATTCTCTCTCTTTCACATCTTTCACTCTAATTTCTCTTCATTTTCTCGTTTCTACTTCCATTCCCATTTTTTGATCGTCTCTCTGCTCAACTCCTCCCCCTTCTCTTCCTCTCTCAGGGGTGAGTCTAAACGAGGGTGATTTATTATCGTGCTCTGTTTCTCCTTTCCTGCTGAAACACCATTACTGTCAAAGTCACAGCACAAACACATTTTACACCTCACAACACAGATACTAACACAAACTATTTTGATGATCACTTAATCGGTTTGTGTAATTTTTTAAGAAAAGAATGTAAAAACTCTCCGATTCCAGCTTCTTACATGTGAATATTTTCTAGTTCCTTTAGTCCTCTTTGACAGTAAACTGATTATCTTTGTGTTGTGGACATTTCTTTTTACTATTTTCTGACATTTTATAGTCCAAACAACTAATCGATTAATTGAGAAAATTGTCAACAATGAAAATGGTCGCATCCCTAAGAAATACAGAACACATACTTTCTCACACACACACACACACACACACTCCTCCAAGCATGCACTCAGAATTTGAACACTATAGCTCATTTTTTATTATCCAAAAAAGTCTAATTTTGCAAAAGAGAAATGCTCCTTCACATTTGAAAACTTTCACTGTAATTTCCAGAACGACTGTCCAGAATATATAACACCTCTTGTGCCTAATTTATTTTATTCAGCAATATAATAGTAGTGGTGAATATGCATCAGAGAAAGTGTGAGAAACACAAGAGAAATAATAGGGAAAGAAAGAGGCATAAGAAATCAGCAGAGAGAGAGAGAGAGTAAGTGTGTGTGTGTGTGTGTAATAAGAGAGAGTGAATGAGAGTGTAAGAGTGAAGGGGTACTGGGGGCTTGTGACATAGAGTCCCCAGAGTCCTAATTATCACTGTATGAATTATTACAACTGTAGAACACGTCCATGCACACATGTGAACACACACACACACACACAAACACACACAAACACACACACACACACACACACACACACACACACACACACACCTCTGGATCTCCCCTGCAGTCTCAGCTCCCTCCATACACCTCTAGACCACATATCACCTGAGGCATTTTCTCCCTCCTACCATCTTCCTCTCTTGTCTACTCCTTCTCTTCCTGTCTCCTCCTAAAACCTTTTCTATTATCTCCATTTTCAATTTGAGTCACTTTTACAGTTTGCGTCAAGTTAACAAAATACTTTATGTCTGCCTCAATCCAGTTTCAGAAGATATTTCCCTCTCAATTAGGGATGGTTATGTTTTTATAATTTAAGAAATATCGCCAAGGTTAAGTTTTTTATTTCAGCCACAGATCTGGAGAAACTCATCAACGCTTTTATCTCCTCCTGCCTCAACTATTGTAACTCCCTACAAACCCGTCTCAGTCAGAAATCATTTAATCTCCAACATGTAGTCCAAAATGTTGCAGCTCAACTTTTAACTCACTGCAAAAAATGTGACCATATCACCCTAGCTTTAGCATCCTTGTACTAAGCTGGCTGTTTCTTTTAGGACTGATTTTAAAATTATTTTTTTAAATTAAATTATTACTGGCATGTCTTATTTCTCTGAGCTTTTATCCCGCTATGAGCCAGGACACTGACTGAGATCCTCTGGGGGGGCGCTCGCTATTCCAAGGTCTAGGATAAAAGGAGACAGGGCCTTCGTTGTCAGGGCCCCTACACTCTGCAACAGCCTACCAGAGGAGATCGAGCTTGCAGAGTCTGTTCTTGGTTTTATCTCACTTCTTAAGGCTCATTTACACAAAAAAGATTTCAATAAGTGATATTATTCTCCATTGTTTGTACAGTATATTGACTTGTTTATGTTTTATTTATTGAATTCAAACCACTATGTGATGATTTATTTATTTGTCATTTAATTGTACATTGACTTGTTTTATATTTTATTCATTGCACACCACTGTGTGATTTTTTTTTAAATCCAACTTCTATCGTCTATGTTTGACATTGATTGCTGTAAAGCACTTTGTTACCTGTATTGAAAATTGCTATACAAATAAAGCTATTATTATTATTAAATCCAAGAATTCTAAGTTTAATATTGTGTCCTTGTTGAGAGCTCTTCTGGGGGAAAACAAACTTCATAATGTCTCTTTGCAGTTTTAGATTTTAACTGACACCTGCAAGCTATTAAGAAACCATTCTTTTCAGCTTTAATGAGCTGTAAATAAAGGTAAAGGTATTAAGCACTACGTATATATATATACCATATATATATGTTCAGAAGGTCTCTCACTCGGCCCATAGACTGCACCACCTAACATGCATGCGCAGTCTTTGGCGCCGTGCATGCAGCCCTCATGTCACCCCGGACCAATGATATGTCAGGAATTAAGTGCCTCAATCAAAGAGACAGTTTTCAGTCTCCCCGCTTTCAGTTGCAACCGTTCAGGAGGACACTGTTGTCACATCTTTTGTCTCTAGTTCAGAGGAGTTTTGCTGGACTTCTGGATAATGCTTCATTCATATTCTGGACTGTGTTTTCTTTTCCTTTCCATATTCCGTGTGCGTCCTTGAGAATTACCACACACAGTTAACACACCCACACATACACATAAACATATACTCATACTAGATTTCATTCTACAATAAACAAGTTGCAAGAAAAGGAGTGTGAGAGCGTCATTGGATTGGGAAGATTACCAACATCATCTTAATCGTTCTAACCGGACAAACTGTGGGAGGTGCACAGCCACAAAGACACATGTCAAGTTTGGGGATCAGAAGTCAACACCTCTTTTATAATATATATAGGGTATAAATTATTATTGCTAGTCTGAACATGATGTCTGGTCCTATTTGAGCTTTTAAAGTCTGACACTGTGGCAACCTCTTCAGACATAATCAAGACAACATTTGGCATTATTAAAAGTATGCCGAATTAGTTATTAGCAGGTCATGTTTTAAATCTACCCACTGAGCTACAGACAACTATCACTAGGTTACCTTGATGCGACATGATGGTTCTCAGTTAAATTTCGAATTTCTAAACAGTTTACAGACATTTATTTCCAATGGACTTTGGAGAGTTCTGACTCCAGGAAGGAGTATGAATTGTGATCGTGGATTGTCTTTTACCTCACGCAATATCTTTGCCTCATATCGCTTCTTCCCCACTCCCTTCAACTCTCCCCATGGGGGAGTTAACATGTCTAGAGCAAACTCCCTTGTTTGTGGGTATAAGTAGATTTCCTGACACTTTACAGTATAGTGTCATTTCATCCATCCTTAATTTTGGAATCATAATTTGACAATTACCTAAATTACCAATCATGAAAGATATAAAAGTCACTTCATGAGGTTCATTTTGTTACTCAAACAATACATACTGTCTCGTGTTGTTTTCTGTTTTAAACCCAGATGATTAAGATTAAGATGATTAAGAACACATAGACATGCACTTTTCCTGGGGTAGATGCAATATAGCAATATAGTCTGAGGTTGTCCATGCTGAGGAGGAGTGGAGTGGGAGAAAGTAGAGAGCAAAAGATAAATAAATAAAGCAATTAAATTAAAACAGAAAGGAGAGGAGCCTGCATGTTCATGTTGAACACAGTATCTTAGAAGTCAGATTTTGTCAGTGGTTGATAGCTAACAAGGTCACGCTACAGTAGCTAGCTACAACTACAAGCAGATAAATTAAAATGTTTCAGTTCCTGTCTGTCAGACTCACATTAAGAGGCATATTCATCTGCATGCTGGTTGCCTGTTGTCATTTGGTATAATCATATGATACCAGAATTTATTTATTCACTTTCTGTGGTAAAAGTCCTTGTGGGAGAAGTAGCTCTACAGACTGTCATGTGTGATTGCAAGGCACACACACACACACACACACACACACACACACATATACCCCTCTACAGGTAGCTTACCTGGTACGGATAGAGTGTAACTCCTCCATTGGTTCGGTTCAGGTGCTGATGGGCCTGCAGAGCTGCTGCATTCAGTACTGCCCCACTCCCGTTATTACTGTTGTTACCACTAATACTGCCAGGGCTGTTTACCCCAGTCACTGGTTGAGCACCAGCTTTTCCTGAACTGGGGGAACCATTCCTTCTGTCCATCCCACCTCCAAGCCCCAGGGAGCTGGGTTTGGACCCGAGTCTGTGCCCTGGGCCTTGAGGTTGTGGGTTTGTGGGAGCACAGCTGGATGTTTGCCCCACCGAGGGACTCCCATGGCTGGATGGTCCGTGGCTTGGGCTGGGCGTAGGAGTCTGGCTGGGGCTTGGAGAAGGTGACTGGGAGGACGGGTGAGGAGGATGTGAAACGGCAGCAGCTGAAGAGAAGGAGGAAGGAAGAAAAGGAGGAGGCCAATCCCGTGATCCAGGACCTCCTGGTGCTCCGGGTGCTCCCATTGGACCTGGAGGTCCTTGAGATCCATATCGTCCAATCAGGGATGTAGGGGAAGAGGTGGGAGACAAATCCCACTGGTCGAGAGTAAGGACGATGCGCACGGCTTCCTGTTTGAGCTGAGTGAGGTGAGTGGCGCAGACATCACAGCGACTGTCACGTTCGTTCCATGCCCGCCGAGAACTGTTGGGTACCTGAAGCTTATCATGAAGGAGGAGAGAGAAGGAGGGATCCTGGAAGGAGAGAGAAAGAGAGAAAGACAGGTTTTAGACTGCTGATGAGTGAGAGCAAAATTAAGCAAGAACGTCATGTTTAGAGCTAAGAAAACCTGGAGGAGAGGAGAGGAGAACAAATGATAGGCATGTTGAACAAATCCTGACTATGAATATTTATTAAAAATCCAAGAAGCGGTGCCCTGTAGCCTGGGGGAAGATGTGTAACGAGAGACACACCAAGAAAAGGATGAGCAAAAGGAAGTACACACATAAAAATGCACACACACACACACACACACACTATATCCTTATGGTCGAAAGGGTAAAAGTTTCACAGAAGCTGCAAGCAAAGACAGTCCTGTTTGTAGACTTTTGCTACAGTGCAACCTGACATTGTGTTTGTTCAGCACTTTTAAATAATGTGTGAATATAAGAGCTAAAACAGCAGTCATTTTTTTCTTCATACCAGAGGTTACTTGCTTCAGTGCATCAGTTTCTTGCAATGAGAAATTACCAATTTATTATTTCCAATAAAAAGGTAACAAAAACTCTTTGATGAGGATAGAACAGCTCCACGATAGTGACATGAACTATTTCATTCAGGCCTCAGAAAGAAGTTATATATAGTATATCTTAGATGTTAATGTCAAACATTAAATGGCAATGTAGTTTTAATCATTATACCTAATGAAATATCAGCTAATGTCAAATGAAGCAGCACTCAACAAGTAAACATTCCCTGACATTTTGAGTCACATGCTGCTCATCTTTAAAACCCTTTTTTCTATTCTTCTGTACTTCAATTGGTAAAACATGACACTAAGTGCAAATGGTCTACTTGCAGGAAGATAAAAGGGCACTTTTGTGAAAAACAACAAAACACCACATTGGTTTCAGACTCTTTGGGCTCTATTTTAATTGCGCAAGCACAACAGCGCAAAGACTGTGTGGGGGAGTCTCCAAGGACACCAGTTATTTGGTTTATGTATTTGCAGCAGTACAAAGTACACAAGGAGCGGGCGACGTGGAATAGTGATTGGAGGGTGTGGTGATTCGTAAATTCGCTCTCAGCCCTGCTCTGAACAATCTGAGCCAATCAGATTAATTTTAAACTAGTTTTAAAAACATTTTATTTAATTAATTAGTCCTTAAGCCCAAACATGTAAAAATGGATCTTATTGACAGTTAGCTGTATCATGACCAAAACATTTTACAGTGAACAGCATGCATTAACTGGTATCAAATACAAATGGCTTGTTTTCTTAGATATATAAATAAACAGTGTTGATATAATTATTATTTTAGAGGAGAAAATGGAGGAATGCAAAGGAATAAACTCAAGTAAAAGATTCTGACTGTTAAAAGACCAATGAAGCCAGAACCCCTCGCACTGAACATGACATTAAACACTCACATGACATTAAACACTCACACACCTAAACTAAAACTAATACCCGGCCATGAATCTATTGCCCCAGTGCATGCTGGGAGACTTCCCAACAAACCTACCTCATGTACCTGCAATAACATAATTAGCACTCAGCTAATTATATGAATGCTGATCATAGTTTCAACTCATTTTGCATTTTTTCAAAATAAGATTCTAGATGAATTCATCCAGTAGTAACAAACCAATCCTCACACTGTCTAGAAAAGGACCAAATTCACTGGATGAGAATAAACAGGATTATTTTAGCCTGATAACAGCATGTTAGCCTGAATTAGATAAGCCATGTTTGAAGAACGTGGCCCTTTGTGTCATTTGCACATGATTTATTAAAGGTAAACACAGTGGACGGCTGTGCATAATGTCACTGCGGCAGATTAATCAACATATCTGTCCTGCTGCCATCTGACTGTAGGGATTTAATGAACTGTAGGAGAAGGTTCTCATGTAGTATATAGCAACTGTGGAAAACAGATACTGTCAAAGTCACTCATATTCATTTGTAGATAAATGTTTTTCAAATTTTTGCTTTACAAACACATGATGACGCTGATTTATACACATCTACTGTTGCACGATATCTTGCTGAAACCTTTCTATGTCTGGTGCATTGGTTTTGTTCACAATCATTTCATTGTCAACTCTACCCATCAAGGCACAGTACTCTGAGGTTGTTCAAGAATATCTTTACCTGTGTAACCCATCAACAGCTTCTAAACACTTGGTGCACTTTCACCACATTCACAGATGTGTTCCCCCCCTGGGATGGACTCTAAACACAACAGTCAAGATAAAGCTGTAGTGAGTATACACATACTGTATGTAAATGTGGCAGAACATTTGACTGCTGTTACTCAGGAGAACTCACCTTTTCTGGTGAGTACAGACTGAAAGCAACGCAGGTTCCCAATTGATGGGTTTTTGTGCAACGTCATCACTGAGAAAGCAGCACTCTGTCTTTGCAGCGTATCAGTTAAATGGCATATCCATCTGCAGTATTGGGCAAATTTACTCAGCAGCGCATTTTAATATGAATCTCCTTTACTGAAACAATAATTAACCTGAGAAGTCAACAACCAGCCGAAGTGAAAACACTGCAGCCTCTCAGACCAGGGGATGCTGTATCATATAGGCTATGGATATAGGCTATTTAAAAATAATTAAATACAAAGCAGGTCCCTCCTGACATTTTAGCTAATGGCGTATTCATAACAGAATCAATGAGCATGATTTTTACGAAGTATTTTGTTTTTTAACACCACTGTCTGAGATAAAAAAAAGTCAAGAAAGTATCTCGACTTCAGAACTAACATTACTGTTTTGCACATGCATTTATACGTGAAGTTTTCAGTACTTTTACAAAATATAAAACGTTGATAAACACCACTCACTCCTGCCTAGTGGATGCTGTCCTGCTTTAGCAGATACTTCAACACAAAACTGTTCACGGAAGACAATGTTCTTTTCTTCTCTGAGTGTCACACAGCTAGGCCAAATGGTAGGACTCACTGTACCACAGTACAGCTCTGGAAAGGATGCCTCTCTCCCTTGTTCTTCCATTAGCCTTTTGGCTAGTAGCTGACTTGAACAACATTATGTCACGCATGTTCTCTTAATATTCAAAATGAAACACAAACAAACAGATACAACTCTGAAATGTCAGTTTATTATTAAGTCAACAAGAATTTACAAACAGTGCGTAATCTACATTGATTACAGTGGTTGACTACAGTCTTCTGACCGGCTACCAAAGCGCTTTTGCCCCCTGGCTACGCGCGCATCCAGTAGTCTTTAGATACAAGAAACCCGTCTATAGCACCCATATAAAAAAACAATAATGTATTTCAGATAAAAGCATGACACAAACCACAGATTTAATCTTCTCTGTTGTTTTGGATAAAATATCTCAACAGAAAATCATAATCATTAAAAAAATACTAAATGTAATGTTGGTCCATATTGTGTTTTTTTCTCTCTTCACCCCTCATAAGTCTCTCTTTCAGTGTTTGTCTGGTGAATTTGTGTGTATGCGTGTGTGTGAGCAATCATAGTGTGGTTTCTTGTGTGTGAAATCCGGATATTTGTCCAATTTGTTTGCGCAGTTATCTGTGCCTGTGTGCGTGACTGGATGTGTGTGTGCAGGTATGTGTTATGTGTGTGTGCATGTGCATGTGTTTCTCCAGACTAATTGGAGCCTCTTGCACAGAGTAAAGCCACTCTAAATCTCTTTCCATGACTCTCTGCTCTAAATATCAAAGTTAACAAGCAAAACACACGCACACACCCTGATACAGATCTGTGTCTAAACCTTCTTTGACCCCACTGAAAATATTTTTTCAAATTTTTCCCACAAAGCATTACGTACTTTATCTGACAAAAGGCCATTAAATAGATTTTTTTCCCCTTATAAAAGTCTGTCTTTACACGAGGCCATTGAGACTGATGGTGGGAATAAAATGAGTGTGAGCTAATTGTGCTTAAGTGTAGGTGTAGTGTTAGTGTATTTACATTGAGTGTGTGTCTGCTTAGGAGCCCTGTACTTCAACAAACCATCTGTGGTAGGTGGAGCCAGCTCACATGATAACTGTAATTACCGTCCTGCTTTCAACCAGCCTGCTTCTTCTGTAACACTAAAGCCAGGTATCCGTGTAGGCGCTCGCCCTTTTCTACACACGTGATTGTTACAGCTAAATGAGTGTATGATTACAATAAAAAAACATCACAAGCAATTTTAACTTGGGTTAGACAGTAAAGACCTTATCTGAACATGTACAGCCTCCACAAGAATGAAATGTACATTTCTATTGTTCTACATCTACAGATGACTTTCTGTGAAACTGCTTCCTCCTGATTGACTGCTATTACCTTCTGCATCTCAAAAACCGAACCATTACATTCGCTATCTTCTAAATAAAACAGGTGCAATGATGTAATGTCAGAATAGTAGGAGCATACAAACAATCACTAATTACACACGCTGACCAATACTAGTAGAAACAGCAAACACATGACTGTAAACAGTTGTTCATCCTTCTGGGACTTTTACTTGAATATCTCAGTACATAATGCCAGGAAAGAGGCTGTGCATGTACAGTATTAATCAAAGTGACTCTTTGTTTAGTGAAGCTTAATCAATGCATGAGTTATGGAGATGCAGCATTTGTGCGTGCATCCAATCAATAGGCATGTGATGGACACAGGTTATCGTTCAGCAGATTTAGACAAGACATAGGTTTATATAATGAACTGGTTTGTTTATCCTATTCCACATTTACAAAACAGCTTTACAACTTTACAAGAAAAAACAGCAGCCTTAAAATGTTGCCCAAATGTCTAACTAATTGTAATTTGTCTGAATCTGTGAGTGTGTGTGGTCAGCCTCCTTGGTGGCCCATATGCTCATAGTGGAATAAGCTTGTTGGCAAGAAAAAGAGAGTGAATGTAGCATACTGTCTGCCACACACATATAAGCCTCTATCAATAACAAGCCTGTTACCTTTCCTCAATCAATATACCGTCTGTGTGCGTGTGGAAGTGTGTGCACAAATGTTTGTGTGAATGTGTGTCCACA